GGAAAAAAATGTACCCAAGTAAACATGATACAGCTTTTTTTCTGTGACATTTTTATTATGGGATTTTTCAAACACAGAAGGGACAGAAAATAATATAAGACTAGATTCATAAAAGCTTCAAAACTCCTCTGTAGGTTCACCGTCCATCTTTCAAAAAACTTAAAGATAAATTACATCATCGGTTTGTCTGTGCTGACACGGTATTACACTGAGAATTCTAATTTCCAATAATAGCATCATGGTTATTTTTAATTTTATTTATCATATAAAATCTAATAACAGAATCACTCCCATGAATAATATTATGCAAAACAGTAGTGTTTTCCTGTCTTCTAGTCTTTAGACAACATTGCATGGGGTTCACAGTCACATTTCTTTTTTTAGGAACACCCCTTTAAGTTTTCCCATCATATCAACACTATTAGTTTTATTTGAATCAGTGTGAAAGAAATAAAAAGTATTCCTGGAACTAAATGAAAAGGACAATACAACATAACAAACCCTCTGGGACACTTTTTTAAAAGCAGTCCTAAGAGGGAAGTTTATAGCTCTAACTGCCTACATTAAAAAAATCAGGAAGAACACAAGTAAATGACTTAACATTGCAACTGAAGACTCTTGAAAGGCAACAACAAATGAAACCCAAACCCAACAGACAAGAAGAAATGACACAAATCAGAGCAGAAATTAGTGAAATACAAAGAAAACAATAGAAAGAATCAAGGAATCTAAGAACTGCTTCTTTGAAAAGATAAACAAGATAGAAAGATCCTTAGCCCAGTTAACCAAAAAGAAAGAGCAACTCTAAATCAAGCCAGCTCCCTTGATGACACAGTTCCCCGCAGTGATCAATGCCATGCAGCTTGGTGATTCCAAGGAATAAGAGATAAACCATTAAAGATACATAGTGCTTTGTAAACCAGGAAAAGTATACTAAATGCATTAAGAAAAGATTGTTAGCAAAAGATGAAACTATCAGAAAGTTGGGGCTAGAGAAATGACTCAGTGGTTCAGAGCACTGACAGATCTTGCAGAGGACTGGCATTCAAAGCCCAGCACCCACATAGTAGCTAACGATTGTCCAACTCCAGTTCCAGGAGATCCAACTTCTGACTTTCACGGGCATTGCATGACATGAATGCACTTACATACATGCAGGCAATACACTGATACACATAAGAAATAAAAATAATAAATAAAATGTTTTTTAAGAACTATCAAAAAGCTGCTGGGCATAGTGGTGCACATCTTTAGTCCCAGCACTCGGGAGGCAGAGGCAGGCAGATCTCTGTGAGTTCAAGGCCAGCCTGGTCTGCATAGTGAGTTCCAGGCCAGTTGGGGCTACAGGGAGACCCTATCTCAAAAAGGAAAAATAAATAAGTAAAAAGGAGCTATCAAAAAGTTGATTGGAAAGTGATTTTCTGTTGCTCACTTAAAAAGAGAACGTAAATTCAGATTTGTGTTTTCTTTCCAATCTCAGTAACTCTTAAAAGAAACTCTAATCAAGAGATATGCTTTTCTAACTACATTTAATTTCTGTGTACTCTAGTTGAACTTATTATTTTTACTCTAGAGATCTGTATATTTCATTTAGCAACCTTGCCACTAATCCTTCACTAATTAGCCAATCCCCTCGTGTCTAAAAATACACAGTTTCAAAAAGCACTACTACTAATTACATCAAAATGAGTAAGCTTTGAAACGTAAAATTTATACCCAAATAATGACTTAATCATATATACCAATTTAGTTACTTATACCCCATTTTCATATTTCATAATTAGCAATAAAGGTAAATAATCAACAAAGCAATGATAGGTACTTAAGAAAAAATTATTAGTTCACTTAGGGAGCCACTGCAAGGCATTTTTTACATTCATCGAAAATGAATAATGTCACTGCTTAGAAATTTTTTTTTAAATAAATCCATTCCTTATATGTAGGTCACACTTTTTTGTTCAGTTGCTTCAGTCTCACACTATAGCCCAGATTAGCTTAGAACTCTCTGTGTAGACTAGGTTGGCCTGGAACTCATGGCAGTCCTGCTGCCTGGGACTGTCGAGGGGCTAGAATCAAAAAGTCAACCATTACCTTGGCTTCTATGTGTTTTCAAATGAAAATTTATCAAGGTATATCAAATTCATAACATAAAAATTTTTCTTTCAATTATTAAATTGATAGAGTAGAGCCTGAGATATAAATTTTCCCCATAATCTTTGGCAATCCATTTCTAAATTAAAGAATATACATTATGGGTTCATGAATGATCAGAAGCATTTAACAATACACACTGTACTGGTCAAGAGGAGAGGAGCAAAAAGTAATTCTGAGGAACATATTATTTTCAGCACAGAGTTTTGGAAGACTAGAAAGAATGGATTGATTACAGTAAATATTTAAGAAACTACCTCCAAGCAGAATTTTAAAATTTGTTATTCAAAGTTCAAGCAAGAGTTTCATGTAGCAAAATTTAAAAATGGCTAAGTATCCTTTCTACTGGATTGAATTCTTTGTTGCATTTAAATTTCTTAATAACTTCATAAGACTTAAAGTAAGAATACCTCACTTGAAGTACATGTACTGAGTGATAGGCATTTCATCAAGGTAATCATAAAAGCACATATAATGCCAAGAAGAACTACTGTCTACTTAGAGGAAATGTCTAGTAGGGTAAATGCAAGGGAAGGCAAGGATGATTTACAGCAAAGAAAAGTAATAATGTGTCACATAAATGAATCAAATAAGCTAAGACCAAGTTAATGCTAACGGTAAAGGAGGCTGGAAGAATTTGACTAAAAGAGATGAAATTAAATACTTTACAAACTAAGAACAGAAATATTCTTCAAAATGGCATGGATAAGTCTCTCCAATATGGTATTACTTAATGGTGAAATGGCTGAGTAGTTTCTTAACAAATTAATTCTAAAATAGAAAACAATATTTCGATTTATTTTTGAATAAATACATAATAAAAGTGAAGAATTAAAGTACATTGTTTCAAAGTTGGAGTGAAGAGAAAATTAATGTCTTTACAATACATAATCTAATTATAATAATGACTTTATTAATTATTAACAATACCAAAGAGCAAATGAAATGGAAATAAGTATCTCAAATAATACTAACTAGTAATATCTGTAAGGATATTTAAACGGAAAGAAACTCTGACTTTAGTGAAATATGCAAACAAGTGGAAAATGGAGTATGCTCCAGTTGAGCATGCTCCAAAGGGCAGGCTGCACTTCCTCATGTAGAAAGGCAGACCACCGCAAGGACATACCTTCCTCAAAATATTATATAATGTAGCATAATAGTAATCTAAATCTCATCCACATTCAAATGTCTGATTTAAACTGGGCATAGTTACCTTTAAAGTCAATGTAAAGGAATCAACAAGGAAAAACGGTTCCGTTGATATTTTGTGGAGATGAAAGATAGGTGATAGGATTACTCTTACTTAATATTAAACAATAGTACAGTATTAAGTATATATATATATATATATATATACACACACACACACAAACACACATTAGGAACTGAAGAGATTTAAGTGGGGGTACTACTAATTTAAATAAGAAACTTGCCAGGAGTGGAGGCACCCATATTTAACCTCAGTACTCAGGAGACAGAGGCAGATGGATTTCTGTGTGTTCAAGGTTCTGACTAAGAAAATAGACAGCTAAAAGAAGATTCAATAAACAAAACTCTGGGCATATCAGATGTGTTAGTGGTCATAAAAACAAAACTTAAAGAGAAAAATTGTCACAAATGGCTTAAACCAGACTCGAGAGACTCGAGGAACAGGTAATCTATTAATTTTTATTAAGAGAATAAAATGAAAGTAATCTGATGATCTGAGCCTTAATGATATTGCTGTCTTTCAATTAAATATGTCTACCTTCTGGACCACTAACCTAAAGAGTATTACTATTTCTGCAGTGCTGGGATTAAACCCTGGGTCTCTTCCATGTTCAACACATGCTGTATCATCAAGCTATACCCCACATCCTGATCCAAAGCTACTCATATGAACTCACAGCAATGGTGACAGCATGCAGAAATTCCATGCTAACTCAAGCCAGACAAAATCCCAGCACAGGCATGGGGAAGTGGGTAAGAAATCCCAATCCAACCTAAGGAACTTTTTGGCAATTGATAGCCAAAGGGAAGGGGAAAGACTGTCCTACAGGGATGGGTCTCTTGGTGAGCCCAGTAGATGAATCCACACTGAAGAATATTTAGGACACAAATCAGACTCTCTCTCTCTCTCTCTCTCTCTCTCATATGAGAGAGAGAGAGAGTACATTAGATTGAGCGAGAGGCAGTGAGATGTGTGGATGGGGAGGGGACCTATCATCAAACTATAATATATGAAAACTGAAAAAAAATCAATTAAAAAAAGAATAGAAAAAATTTTAATCTCAAAATACTAATTTTTTCCTTATTATAACACAACAATGAAACAGGCTGCACCTGCAGCAATGTAACCCTGGCCACACAGAGGCATGGGATATCTGTGGCTACTACCATTCATAAGTTACTGCATAATCCAGGGCCTACAAGAAAAGTGACAACTTCTTAGATCCCAAAAGTAGGAAGGCAGGCTGAGGCTAGGGTTCATTTCCTGGACTTTGGTGTTAGACAGGACATAGTACATCTCATACACCAGACACTCCATGTTGGAAGGGAATTCTTGCTCTCTGTCTCCTTTCAATTAGCCATATTAGTAAGCAAGTATTAACTACATTTTAAATTATATTACATATTACAGTTTTAAAACAAACTTGAGCCCTGAATACCTAAAATTAAACTTGAAATATATGAATTATATAGATTTGCTACTGATAAAGCAAATGTATACAATAATCAGCATGTGGGGGTTAGTGATCTAAGTAAGTACTTTTGTTCATTTAAATGTACTTCCTACATTGGATAGGAATGCACTCTTTAAGATAGTGATCTGGTAGTTGAAGGGTTTCTACTCCCTAAAGGATTACCTGTGATGGAGCAAAGCCAGACATGTGGAAAGCTGAAAACACAAGAGGCACCTCGGCCTTCAGCAGCATCTCAATGTAGTGAGTACTGCAGGAATACACGGGATGGATACCAGTTTCTATGATGTCAGCAGGAAGGTATCGCTGCATGAAAGAGAAATGGGAAACTGTAAATACAGAGATAATTTAAAACAATCAAACATACTTATCTAAGTCTTTTTGCTTAAGCCATTTTGAAATTGATATGGTGGGTCTGGGGACATAGTTCAGTTGACAGAATGCTTGCCTAGCATGCACAAAACTCAGAGTTTGATTCATAGCATGACATAAACCTGGTGTGCTGAGTACATGCCTGTAATCCCAACACTAGAGTAGCAACTGGAGGATCAGAAGTTCAAGATCGTCCTGGGATACACAGAGAGTTTGAGGCCAGCATGGGTTACTGAGACCCTATCTCAAGAAAATAAATAAAATAAAATTTATATGGTAGTCAAAGAAATTATATGGTAGTATAACATGTTACCACAATTATTGTAAGTGTGTGTATTAAAGTCAGAATGTTAAACATTGTAGAAATAAGAAATATTCAATAAGGATATATACCTTTCAAAAACACAGGAGTAAGGGTAACCTGTAATTGTGTCAACTTCTATGAATGAGGTGGAGAGGTGTTGCATGAAGAAAATAAAGATATGATGAGTGCATGAGTAACAAATATTTTCCATATTAATAATAAGACACATGTTTAATAGTATTGGTCTTGGCCAATGATTTTAGGTTATAAAGTTTTAGTCAGCCTTGATAATGTTTGCCTAGTCCTGTTTCATTTGTTGATGGTAACTCATATCTGAATTACACAAAAACTGACAACTCTCTAATAAACTCACTACTGAGATGGGACAAAGAGCATAATAATTTACTCAAAGTTTTCAAGCCAACTACTTTATTTTTATGTTTAAGTATATATTTAAATAATGCATGTATGTATGAATATATACACATGCATGTGGGGATGACATTTTGGGGAATGCCTTCTGTTACAACTGAGAGTCTAACCTAATCTTTGAACCAAAGATAATCTTGTTTTGAAATCATTTAACACTATCTCAGCCTCTTTACAGTGTAAACAACCTTACTAGACGTTGGCCTCTTCTTATAACCCAAATATATAGCTTTAACCTCTGATGACCCTTCCCCACCCCTGACTCAGAATAATGTATGTACATGAGTATGCTGTGAAAATATCATGTAATGAAAGCAGTACATATCACTGGAAGCAATGAATTATCCCATTTATGTTGCAAATAACAGGTGAGATTAAATTGGTAACATCTGTTTGTGGCTGTGTAAGCTGTTTTGGGTCAGTAAGGGATAAGAAAGGGAAAAAAAAAAAACCCTAATAAGACAAGTTTTGTTTCTCCTTTCCCATTTCAAGCTGGATGTATTGTTTCATTTGATAAGAAAGCAAGGCCACTTTGTTCAGGAGGACAGTTCCAAAGAAAAAGAGAAGAACAAATTCTCAGAACAGATCAGGCTTACTCTTGGTTCCAACAGATGCTAAGGGGTTAGGCTGTTTTTGTTTAGGCACCACCATAAGGTTCTCTCTCTCTCTCTCTCTCTCTCTCTCTCTCTCTACACACACACACACACACACACACACACACATTTACAAACTTAGATTCTACATCAGTGAGCTTATAAAGTTCAGCATTTTTAAAATGTATCTCTTGCTCTGGGAATATAGCACAGTGGTTGTCTACTACATGTAAGGACCTAAGATCAGTTCTCCGCGCTGGAAAAAAAATTAGCTCTTAGATGTAATTTATCATTTGAAACAATAGTATTACATTTTTTGTTACTATAAATCCAATACTTTTATAGAATCATTATTTATAGCAAAGAATAATAAATTCGAAGATATAATTTGTGATAAGAAAAACTAATGAAAAGCAAATTAGATCAATAAAGTCAACACCCAACACTGGACTACATAATTAAGAGATGTCCAAAGGACATCTTATTATCTTCACTTTACCTTACATTTTAACTCTTATTTTAGATTTTGTAAAATAAAAATTCATGGTTTTAAATAAATCAAATGCATACATAACATAAATGGTAAAATACATAGACATTGGCTTAAACTTTTCTATTACAATAAAGTTTCAGAAACCCTAAATTGATTTATCTGTGATTTTTATTTTTTGTCACTCATCATCAGAAAGGATTTATTACTATTTCACATTATAGAAGTACATATTTGCATGAATAAATAAATCAGTGTAAATACTATGTGTCTTATGAATGGTTCTTTAGGAGATATCATGCTAAAATATTAATTCTAAATACACAGATAGCATATTAACTGGAAATCTTATGCTTAGCTATATAGACAACCAGGACAAAAAGTTCTGTTCAATTATTAAATATAACACCAAGTATGAATTAATGCCCTTTGATTCATCTCTTGCCAAACACATGTGTTTCACTGACACCTCTTTATGTAATGCATAAACTAATAATCATGTAAAAAAGCAAAAATCAACTTACACATTTAAAATTTCAACATGAATTTAATAAGAATTTTCTATGTACATAGGTAGTATAGGAATTATATGCACAGGAACTAATTCTTTTTTGTTTGATTGTTTGTTTTATACAGGCTCTCCCTGTATCCGAACTGGCCAGAAACTCGCTATGTAGACAAGGTGAGCCTTGATGGCACAGAGTGCCTATGTCTCCTACTGCTGGGATCAAAAGTGTGTGCCATCACATTCAGCTGAGTTCTTCTCTTTTTATAAATTGTACTCTGTTAAAAGAACCTTAAGTTTGACTTTGACTTCTGATAAGCAACACAGCTCCTAATACCAAACCTTGCATATTCAATATTGACCAAATGACAAGAGCCCAATGATTACAATTGTTACTATAGCAAAGTCATAATTAAAGTCTTATATCTTGTCTATTATCTGCCATTCCATAACTCTAATAGTAAATAATAAATGGTATTTATAAAGCCTGATCAATAATAGATGACTCACACGAACATAACAAACGGTCTTGTGAATCATTAAAATAAAATAATTATACTTTTAGACATTTAGGTTTCTACTATAGGTAATTCTGATGAGTTGCTTATTCCTGACACCAAGAAAAGTCTAGTTCCATGTTGGTATGGAAATTAAATAGAAATATTCTATTAGAAAGATTTGAATCTCTCCAGTCCAATGCAGCTCATTCCACTCCTCCATATACTGAGTCTCAATGGGCAGAGGATTGACCAAGCTTTGCAGCAATACTGCTAGTTAATCTGCACATAATGGAGAGGAGTAAGGAGAAAAATTTAAGGATTTCTCAAAACTTTAATACTGCATTTCTAAAAAACATACATATATATATATTCCTTCTTTAAGGAAAAAGGAAATGAAATATGAGGAATATTGAAATTTATGTATAGGCAAGAATTTTGACACTAGTCCTTATTCCTAAAGGTATCTCTCCTATGACTTACTTTTAAAAAGCATTTTAATTGAATTTTTGTGATGTTCATACAATATAATTTGATGGTATTTAGATCCCCTCCCCTATTCACACCTCCCCTTAATGCCCCCTAACCAATTTAATGTACTTGAAAGAGACTCTCTCTGCCCCTCCTGGCAGCCATCAGTTGCCACAGTTTTCTTAGGTTGGATTGAGGTTTCTTACTCACTTCCACATGTCTCTACTGGGATTTTGTCTGGTTTGAGCTTGCATAGGATTTGTGCATACTGTCACAAATGCTGTGAGTTCCTATGAGTAACTGAACAGCTGTCTGGAAAACTGTTTCCTTGTGATCATCCACCACCTTAGCTCTTAAACTTTTTCTGCCCTCTCTTTTGCAATGATTCCTGAGCCCTGGGAGGCTGAAGTTTGATATAGGTATCCCATTCAGAAATAAGCTCTCAGCAGCTTCTTGTTCCCTGCACATTGGCTAGTTGTGGGTTTCTGTGTTAATCACCATCCGCTGCATAAGGAAACTTCTCTGGTAAAGTTGAAAATGCATTAATCCAGCCAGGATCTTTCCTGGGTGAGTTCTGCCACTCCCACTGTACCTTGCCTCCCCCAGCCTTGTTCATCCTCCTACCTCCCCCACCCCATCTCTCCTCCTAGCATGGACACTGGCCCATTTCTTCTCTTGGCACCCTAGACCTCTGGACTGTGCTCTTGGCCCAGACTTCCCACTAATTCCAGATCCTTTGCACCCAGACCAACCCAATTCCTCCCTCTAGTCCCCAAGAGCCCTCAGGGCCTGTTCCCTCCCTCACTTCACTTTTGCATTTCTGGGCAGCACAACCCCCGGGTTCCTGGAGCCAGCATCTTTCCTGGGAAAGTATGGCTGAGTCCACGGTGCCTTGACTACCCCAGCCCATCTCTCTTCCTAGCATGGGCATTGGCCCATTTCTTCTCTTAGCACCCTAGACTTCTGGCCTGCCTTCTTATCCCAGAAACCCTACTGCTGCCTGACACTTTGGACCCAGACCAACCCAATTCCTCCCTCTAGTCCCCAGAAGCCCTTCAGGCCTGGTCCCACCCCAACCTCTCCTTTGCATTCCTGAGACAGGACCTCAGCCCAGGCAAGCCCAGCCCCCAAAGTCCTGAGTTCAGCATCTTTCCTGGAGGGATCCAGACCTTAGAAGAAAGCCTAAGAGCATCTGATCCTCATCTGACTTGGGCCTCTGTGGGAACTCCTGAAGACAAAAGCAATTTGGCCACTACAATATAAAACCAAAGGAGAGAACCTGAGGCCTAGACCAACCAGCTTTTTATGTCCAACAAGTAAACCACAAGGCACATAAAGTTTACAAAAAGAAGCAGATTAAACTCAACAAAGGAAGGCTTAAGTCTCACACAAGAATCAGAAACTACAAAAGAAATCCAAAAGTCAAAGTCACAGAGAAAAAATAATAACATAAAAAATGCAAATAATAGATCTCCACCAAGGACCAACAGTCCTGTAGAGGAGTACAATGAACCCCCTAGAGATAACACAGGACATGGAATTTAAAAGAACAATTATAAACAGGATAAAAGAATTCAATTATTTTAAAGAACACACAAACAAAAAATCAAAGAACTGAAAGAAGGTAGGGATAAATTTTGGAATG